CCTCCCCGGGGCAGAGCCACCATAAACCCCCTGTCCTGGGGGCTGAGGAGCCGCAGCTGGATCCTGCTCGGCTCTCGGGGAGCTGCAGGGTGTTGGGTCCCCGGGGGTGTCCCCGAGCTTCTCTCTGGGTTTGTGTCCGGCTCCCCTGCACGGAGATGTGTCCGAGCATCCCGGGGATGGGATTTGCTGCTCCCCTTTCCTGCCCAAAGAGGCCGAAGGGGTTTTGTGTGCGGTCCCCGCAGAGCGGAGCCTCACCTGGGACAGTCCCTGCTCCCTTGTGTCCCTCCCCAGCCCAGGAGCAGCTCCCGGGGGTTCCCAGGAGCGGCTCCCGGGGGATTTGTCCCGCCCGGGGCAGCGCTGGGAGCAGCGGGAGCCTCAGGACCAGCGCCCGCTGCGGTGGCATCGCCCCCTCCTCACCCCTCTGCCCCCGTCTGCCGCTCCTCCCGCAGCTCTCGCTCTCCACCAGCGCCTTTGGCTCCCTGCACCAGCTTGGTTTTTCCCAGCAAAACCCCAAATTCCCAAGTTTTGCCCGCGCACTCCCGCGCTCCATCCTTTCCCTATGGATGCCTCCAGGTGAACTTTCCCTGCGGCTCCGGGAGGCAGGGAAACAACACCCGCCACTCCCAGCTCCAATCCTCCGGCTCTCGGGTGTCCGAGGGATCAGATGGAGCTGCCAGGAGCTGTTTCTGCTGATTGCTCGGTTATTAACGCGATGGCATTGCCGCAGCTCAGCCGAGGGACAGCCACAGGTAAAGGCAGTCCCGCCTCCCCTCCCGGCTTTCCAGGCTCCTCTTTGGAAAACAAAGACGGACGCTTTGCCTTTGGAACGCTGACAGCGGGCTGGGTTCGGCCACGGGATGCGAGAAACAAAATATTTTCTAATTCTGGGCTGATTTAAAGGCGAACTCCCACGGGCTCTTCTCGCCTGGCAATGGGAAATGAGGGAAATACTGGAAGTTTTGGCCCAGAACGGGACATATCCCGTTTTTCCCACACTCCCATGGGAATCATCAGCGCTGGGGTTACACAGAGGGGTGACACTGGCGTGGGGCTGCTGGGGGAGCCCCAAAAGAGCTGCCGGGATGGGCAGTGGGGTTGGGGGGGTCACTCCGCACCCCTGGGATCTTCTGCTGTGCTCATTGCACACCCCTGATGCCATCCCCTGGCAGGGACTCTGCTGCATGTCCTGCGACCTTTCCCGACCAGAAATGCCACCATTCAAATTCAAATTCAAAATATTGCAGCAGGAATAGAGGAGAGAGGGGGGAAAAAAACCATCCCCAGGCAGCCCCGGGTCTGGCTCAGCTCCTGCCTGCGGGGAGAGCAGCACCCAGCGCTCCCAGGAAAATCTCCCTGGCCTTCATTCCCATCCCTGGAAATTCTGGGAAGAGGATGGGAATTATTGTGGGGCATGTTTCACGTCCTGGCCGCTTCCAAAGTCATTTTTGAGGATTTGCTGAGCCCCAGAGCAGCCCGGGGGTGCTGAATCCCGGGGGTCCCTCCGGGAGGCTTTGGGGGTTCCTGCACTGGGTCCCACAGACACGGATTGGGAGGTTCCCAATGTGCAGGTTCCCCAGTGCAGGAAGAGTTCCTGGGCTGGGTTAGAACCTTCTGGATGTGGGAGGGGGCAGCCAGAGGAGATAAATCCCGGCCTTGTCCTGCCCCTTGTCCGCGGTGCCGAGGGTGGTGGCAGGAATTGGGGTCCCTGGGGGGACAGGGCAGCCCCAGAGCCCATAACCGAGCAGGAGGGGGTGCCTGGGGAAGGTCCAACCCCTCTGCTGCTCAGCCGGGAACGCCAACAAGGCTGAGAGACTCCGGGTAATCCCAAATTTCCCTTCTCTGCTCTCTCATCCAGCCCCATTCCCCCCAAACTCCGCCGAGAGCGGGGCAGACGAGCCCCAAGGATTTGGGAGGGGAAAGGCGACAGAGCCCCAAAATCCCATCCAAAATCCCAATGCAGATCAATCAATCCATGGATTGATGTCACCGATGGAATTCCAAAGCTGGCACCACTTCAGCCAGGAGGTTTTCCCCAGCTCCACCCCACAGGGATTTGCAGGGTGAGCCTTCCCCTCCCAACCTGCAGGAAAAACAGCAGGAAAAACCCGGGGGCTGCTGAGTTTGAAACTAAATCCGAGAGAAAGAGGGAGGGAGAGACCTTTTATCCAGGGAAAGCTGCTGCAAACTGTTAGGGATAAATAAATGGCAGCGCTGGCGATGCCCCGGCTGGCTCACAGGGAGGGAATTTGTCTCACTTTAGCAGAAGGACCTGGAGGAACGGGGGCTGTTGGCTCATTCATTGCGCTGTTTTCTGCCAGCGAGGTTGTGACATCAGAGCAATTAAGACAAAGTTTAGTCTCTAAGTTCACGCCTGCAACCTCTACACTTCAAAAGAAGACAAACGATCCCTCCAAGGAAGGAAAGCGAGTCTTTTCCAGGCTGCTTCCAGAATTAACGTTTAGGATTTGCAGTGGTTCGGGAGGAATATTTCACTGAATTGGGTAGAAAATAAACTACCTGAGTCCTTCTATTTATTTTATTTATTTTTATTTTTTTTAGCAAAAGTTTATTTTTAATGCAAATACAAGCAAACAAAGCCCAACCTCCTCCCACCCGACTCGCTCACCCCAAACCCGCCTCTCACATCCGTGGTGTTTTTGGTTTTATTTTCCTTTCAATAAGAGTTTTAACCCAAGGACTGATTCAATCTGCCGGGTCTGCTGTGGAAATGCCCAGCAGAGACATTGCAGTCATTCCTTTTTTCCTGGAACAGCAAAAACCTGGAGCCTGTGCTTGACCCAGCAGTGCCAGGACCTCCCCACCCTCCCAGGGAAGGATTATTCCCAAAATCCCATTTATCCCTCTGGCACTGGGAGCCATTCCCTGTGTCCTGTCCCTCCATCCCTTATCCCAAATCCCTCTCCAGCTCTCCTGGAGCCCCTTCAGGCCCTGCAAGGGGCTCTGAGCTCTCCCTGGATCCTTCCCTTCTCCAGGGGAACATTCCCAGCTCTCCCTGGATCCTTCCCTTCTCCAGGGGAACATTCCCAGCTCTCCCTGGATCCTTCCCTTCTCCAGGGGAACATTCCCAGGCTGCAGAGCAGAGCCCTGTCCTGTTTCCCCTCCCCTTTCAAGCCCCGATTCAGGATCAGGATCTGCAGAGCCCGGCCACGGATGCTCCTCACGTTTGGCCCCGAGGGTTTGGGATGGATCCCGATCCCAGCAGCTGGCACTGGGAGCACAGAGGAGCATTCCCAGTCCTTTACTGGTGTGGTGCTGACCCACCTGGCACCCCTCACACCTCCTCACAGCGTGGGCAAGCCCAGATATTTCTCTTCTATTTTTTGGTCTGTTTGCTTTTGTTTCACACTTAAAGCCAGTATTTTTGTGGCTGCCTGCACTCAGAGACAGCCACCAACTCCTCAGGAAATCCTCTGGACACTCAGACAGTTAAAAAATACTCTGGAATCAGGAAACAGAAGATTCAGTAACCCAAAAATAGAGATATAAAATACTTGCTTTAAGGCTGTGTACAGTATAACTGGAGATAACCTGGAAACTGCTCAGCAACAGAAGAAACAATCAAGAAAACCCCTTAATGCGGCGGTGAGGAAAAGGCAGCCAACAAATAATCCTGGTTTTGTCGATGCTTCTAGGAAATGGAGTAAAATACGATCTGGATAAAGTCAGAGTCCAAGGGTGGTGATGATCCAGGTCGGGGAGGAGCTCCTGGGATGCTGCAGAGCTCACTGCGGTCCCTGGGATCGCCGCTCCTCCAGCATCCTGCACACCCACATGGACACAACCTCGGCATTGCCATCGTTGTACTGCACCACGAAGGGGTGGCCCTGCAGAGGGGACAGAGGGAAAACCAGGGAGGGGACATTGCAGGTGATTCATCAACTATTTAAAGGGATTTATTGCTCAGGTTAAGATCTCAATCACCAAGGTGAGAGGAGTAACAAGTCAGGCACAGCCAGGGGTTTCCTCCTCACACAGCAACATTCTGGTCCAACAAACAGTTGACACAAAACTTCATACATTCTATATAATATATTAATAATTAATATATAATTAATAATCCTTAAACCCATCACCTTTGTTTAATTTTGCTGCACTTTGTCTGTCTTTGAGCCAGTGAGCTGACATGCCACGTACCCACACACATTTCTGTTACAGCTTCCAGATCCTCAGCCTACCCTAAAATAAATCCTATATACTCTATAAATCACATTATTACAGCTCAAACCTCACACCATTTTACGTAACATAATTTCAAACCATTTTACCTAATATCATTTCATACTTACTCAGGGCACATTCCTACTTACAACTACAGGAACACAAGTTTGTCATTTTTCTACTTGATGTTTGTGTATTTTTATCGTTGCATTGACCCAAGCTCTTTCCAAGGCTGCAGACTGAACCCTTCAGCACTTGTGGAAGTTTCTATTTTTCCATTTCCCACAGGCAGGCTCAGCTAAACCCTTCTGGGGGGACAAGAAAATCTCTGCTGGAGCATCCCGTGGTTCCAGCCCAATTCCAACCTGGATTTCCTCCCGGATCCGCGTTACATCCCGAGCAGGAGGCAGCCCAGGCTCTTTGGAAATGCTCTTTTTTTATTTATTTTTGGTTGATATTCCCTTTGCTCGCTGTGTTTTTGAGCCAGATCCTTTCCAAGACAGCTGAGCAGTTGCTGGATGGTGTTTGGGGTAAAATGATATCACTTCCTGAAAAAAAAAACCCCTGTGAATCTGCTCCTGTGCTTGGAAATGTGTGTGATATCCCAAAATTCCTGTCTGTAACAGGGCCCTGTGCATCCTCCACGGGCACTGACCTTCCAGGAGAGCTGGAGAGGAGCTGGACAAGGCAGGGAGTGATGGCATGAGGTGTTCTGCCCAGCACCGGGGTGGTTTTGAGTGGAAAAGTGCAGAAATAAATGAAATTCTTTTATCTCCAGCACAGCCCAGAAGCAGCAGTTTCACCTCTTCAACAAAACAAGCCAAGGACAGCAGAGAGAAGCAGGAGAGATCAAGCAGGAGGCACAGACAGGGACAAGGAAAAATATCAATTTTCAATATCAATTTCCAAATGTTCCAGCCACTCTCCTCTCCTTTAGGATGGAGAGACCCCTGCAGCCAAAACCACCTCACACCCAAATATTTCTGCATTTCAGCTGCTCCAAATGAAATTTCAGCTGTGAAACCTCAGCTCTGCACACTGCTTTGTTTTCTAAGGATATTCCACCAAAACCTGGAGGTTTCCACTCTTTTCTCCCTAGGAATAAGTTTAATTTGAAATTACTCTTTGGATTTCCCACGTTTCTAGAGTCCTGCTCCAGTGAGGACTTGTCTCACTGGACAAATCCTGTTTTTACTAGAAGCTGTTTTTCAGAATCTGGTGTTTTTTTCTCAGTTGTTTGTTTATAAATTGGGAAGAACAGAGATTTCCACCAGAACTCAGTAGGATCCATCTTTGTAAATCTTGGTTGCAGCATTTTCAGGTCAGGAACCAAAAACCAAGAAGGACCCAAGTGACCCAAAGATGTCCAGTGCTCAAGGATGTGCCAAAATCTGCCTCCAAATCCACTTTGCTGCTTTTAACACCTGCCCTCACTCAGCAGCACCTGCAATAAAAACAAAACCAAAGGACCCACAGAGCTGGGGATGGTGCAGGACTGCATCAAACCCGGCCTGTTTGCAGCAAGATTTGGGGTGAAAATCCAAAGATTTTCACAAGAGGGACTTGCACTTGGCTCAGCACCCAAAAATATCTCAGGGAATTGTTGAGGTTTTCCTCCAAGGTCTCCAGCACTGCGGTGGTTTCCTCTCTCTTATGAAATCTTTTCATAAACTCATCCCTGCCCTCTGTAATTCTGTCATTATTCAGCAGCCAATCCCACATTTCCTCCTTTTCAGGCATCCTGAGCATTGCAAAAATTCCCCAGAGCACAGAGACCTCCCAAAGCAGCGCCTGAAACTGGAGATTCCTCTGGAAAAGAGGAAAAAGGGGCAGGGAGGTGAAGAATAAGGGGGAAAAAAAATCCCCAAAAAATCAAAATCCAAACCAGCAAAGGAGAAATGCAGCAGGAACAGAGCTGGCACCTCAGGGAGGACACAACATCAGCCCCAGCAGTTTGGACACCGTCAATAAATCCTCAGCCACCGACACAAGCAGCCCTGACTTCAGGAGTGAGCAATATGTTCTCACCCAAACTGGGCTTAAATATTCCCACAGGGATTTACTGCAAGGGAAGACTGAGAAAAGGTAAATGTGTGCAAGCTTGAAATGCATTTTCTGTTGCAGGGATCAGCTCCTCGCTGGCCTGGTGAGGTTATCCCTACCCTGCACAGCTTTATTTTTGGGGACTCATCATCCCATCCTTGTGTATTTCAGATTTCCTCGGGCTCCCACACAGGTTCACAACAAAACAATAACCTCCTCCTACCCAATTTTTAAATATTCAGCCTTAAAAATACCTGGAAACAGCAGAGCCAGAACGAAAAGAGGTTGTAAATCCAGCAACAAACTGGTTTTTCTTCCTGGCTTGATACTGGTGAGCAATAACCTCCTCCTAAACAATTTTTAAATATTCAGCCTTAAAAATACCTGGAAACAGCACAGACAGCAGGAAAGAGGTTGAAAATCCATCATTAAATTGGTTTTTCTTGCTGGTCTGGTACTGGTAACCTCCTCCTACCCAATTTTTGAATATTAGGCCTAAAAATACTTGGAACTTAGCACAACCAGAAGGAAAAGAGGTTGAAAATCCAGCACCAAACTGGTTTTTCTTGCTGGCCTGGTACTGGTGTGCCTTGCCCTGGCCCAGTGGGATGCACTGGGAATCCTGCAGGGAATGGGAAGTGGCTGCTGGAAGAGCTGGGAGCTGGAAAGGTCAGGCAGGACAGGGCCAGGGCTGGCCCCCAGTGAGTGTCAGGCAGCCTAATTTTGTGTGTCAACCCCGAAAATGAGATAAACAATGACAAACCAGGCTTTTTAAATGAACTTGTCTCATCTGGTTCTCTTGATAAAGGGTACATTTCTCCAGTTGCAGTGTCCCACCAGACAGGTTTAACTCTTTCACTGGGGAGCTCCTCACGGAGGGGGAGGTGAAGGATTTAAATATCTGACAGGAAATTAAAAGGGCAGTGCCCCCCTGAACACAGAGCCCTGCTAATTCCAACTCAGGGCTCACCAACCATCAATCATTTAGCCCAGTCAATTAAACCACCATTATTCAAGGGTAAAAGTTCCATCATTTTACCCAGCCTGAAAATTCAGCAATTTGCTTTTGTGGCCTTCTCCTCTGGCCCTCAAAAAATAGAAATATCTTTGTTTCTGATAATAACCCACTCTGAGTTTATTGCCACAGACCTTGCACGGCATCCTGGGCAGGGCTGCAGTTCCGTGGGCCTTTTCCAGCCCCAAGTGCCCACCTGGAGTGGATGAAATTCCCTCTGGGAGACAAAAATCATCGCCCACAGCCCCAAATCTGGGCTCCCCGAGTGCCTCCAGTTCTTCTCACGCAGAAATCCTGGGAAGAGCAAAGCTTCAGCAGAGCCTCTCCTATAAAAAAGATCCTCTGAGCGTAAAATGTTTGTGTTTGGAGAGCACCAAGGAGGTTCAGGCCAGTGCCAAAGGACAGGCAGACCATAATAAATCCCCCTGGGATTTCAGAGCACTGTCTGGGCGGTGTTTCTGCTTTCAAAGTCCATGGAACAGGACCCAGAATGGTGACAAGGCACATCCCCAGCCTGAAATGCCACAAATTTCCTTGGAAATGGCCAGAAATGAGGGACTTTTATCTCCCCAGGGTGGTGTTCCACCACCTGAGCAGGAACCTGAATCCCAAATGCTGGGAATAAATCAGACCCACAACGGCACCTCCTCATATTTTTTCCCCTGGGACGGTGAGAGGCTGATTGAGGAGGGCAGAAAATTAAAAATGATACGAAAATTCCTCATGCTTACACAAGGAAGGTGGGGAAATGAGTGGCACTGCAGTGGGGCCACCCTTTGAACATTAATTTTTCCAGGAGCCCTCACATCCTGAGCTCCCTTTATTTCCAAGCAGCACAGCCAAATCCATGAATTCTATTTAAAATTTTTTTGACCTCAACACAACAAAAAAAAAAAACAGAACCAAAAAACCCACAATCAAAAGATCCCAACTGTTGCAGGCACAGCCTATCAAGACAATGGCCGTGCCCTCAGCCAGCATTTCAAATACAGTTTATTAGTGTGTGATATGAAAAGGGTATTTTTATTGCATGATATAATGCAATGGGACCTTGGGCGCTCTGCAGAAGGACCTTGCACTCAGAAGTGTAATGAACCCATAGTCCAAAAAACATTTTACTGTACATTAACCTATCATTAATGGCACATTAGGGCTGGGGGCATTGCACGCTCGCTGGTCAGGGCTCCATCAGGACAGTGTGCAGGAAAGCACAGTCTGCCCAGGCTTAAAACAAATTGAGAAAATAAAAATTACTGCTGGCTGCTTTGAGGGGAGCTGGCTGGCTGCTTAACCTGCAGCTTTTTAAAGGGGGGATGAGGAAGATGCAGCAGTTTGTTGGCGTGATCTGAATGCATCAGGTGCAGCTTTTCCTGCACAAAGCACAGCAGCTGGGAAGAATAAAGTGAAATTTGGAAGCTTGCTCCTCTTCCCTGCTATTCCCTCATTTCTCCCTGGCAGGAGGAGTTGGGAATGGGAAGAGCATCCTCTGACCCAGCTCTCCCTTCAACACCCGGGATCTGTTTTGCCTCTGCACCTGTTCCACCTGAGCAGAATTCCAGCCCTGCCAGCACTAACTCCATGTGAAATGTGAGCAAACCACTGAATTCC